AAACTAGAATACAAACTGAACAAAAATTATAACAAAGTAGAACTGATTCATCAAAAGAAAATCATAAAACATTTAAAACAACATTAAACTGCTTTTATTTGGAAAATTTCAAAGAAACACAAAAAAGTGATTGTAAGGGATATGCATGACAACAAAGTAATGCAGAGCAGATGAAGGGATGAGGATAAGAACATACATGTACACCAACACTGCTAATTAAGATCCAATGATTCTGTAACTATAAAGAGTGATTTTATGTGTACAGTAATATGCTGTTAGATTATGTCTAAAATAGTGAGAGAAAAAGAAATTCTTAAATTGAACAGTGATATGTTTGAGTCTGTTGTGATGAAAATCAGCCTGGTGCAGTTGATTCTAACTTCTACAGTACACACCCAATTTCACCAATGTAAAAGGCTTTACATTTATGGAAAATGTAAGAGATTAAATAATTACAACTAAACGTCTGATAGTTGAGAGACTTTTGTAAATTATGTACATTTCATATATGTGATTTTTCTTTCAAAATATTTAAATTATTTGACTTCATTTACTATTTTAGCATCAGGGATCATAACATTACATTCTCGAGGAATTTAACTTTGCTTGAGGAATTTGAACTTTTTAATTGACTTTCGCAATCAAAAATGCATGGTCCATCCATATTCCTTTAGTTATGACCAATGAAAGTGAACATATTGCAAGGATTAAATAAAGAAACAATTTATTTATATAAGGGAATGTAATCTTCCTGATAGCTTTCCTTCAAGTGAATGTAATTTTATTTCATTATTCCTATCCATGCAGCAAAAATTAGTATATATATATATATATATATTTGTAAAGCATGTATGTAAATTAAAACTGGAAGGTTGTGTATGACTGTAATTTTTTGAAAGCCTATTTTTAAAATGATGCTATTAAAACAGTTGATACGTCTGGAAATTTAAAATGAACATTTTCTTACACTGAATATGTATTTCTAATAGATATTAGGTCATCAATAAATTATTGTCACATGTTGGAACACTATCATTAACCACTCCCAAAAAATGTACATCACTTATAACAGTTAAACAAACAGCCTAAACATCATATTAGTGTAGCCTAAATAATGTGTAATGTCTAGTATACTCTAATCCCTTACAGTGATGGCACATGACAAGACACACATACGGCAAGTAATGTAGTTTGAATACAAGAAGGAAAACAATGCCTCTTTAGCCACATAGAATATCAAAGAAGTTTATGAAAATGTTTTAAACATTTGTAAGTGTCAATGATGGTTCAGCAAATTTTGTTCAGGGCTGACATGTTGGAATTGATATTGATGCTCTGAAGACACTTGTTGAGTCTAACACAAGGCAACACACTCATGAAATGGTCCTGAAATTGCATGTCTCTCATGAATCAATACACAAACATCTAAGGAATATGGAAAAACTCCATATATGATTATTGTTTCCAACGTGTGAACGTTACTCTGTCTCTTCTGGTGCGTGAACCATTTTTGGACAGAAGTGTCACCGGTGATGAAAGATGCATTCTATATGCAAATGTGGAAGGTGTTAAAGAGGACATTGACATATTTTTGCTTCAAAGCCAAGTGATTTCTTTAATAAGAGCATTAACAACCTAATTGAAAGATGGAAAAGCATCATCAATAAGAATGGAGACTATTTCATTTAATAAATGTTTTGATACATAAGTTGTTCGGGTTTTTTCATCTAAAAGAAGTGACATTAATTTCTTGAACCCAATACTTACCTCCTCTCACCCAAAACTATCTCAATCCTGGCCTGCCTTCTAAGCATTGCTAAAATGTTTTGCTAACAGCACACCAGTCTTTTATAGTAGTCTTTTTTTATGTGCTGATCATGTGACTACCCTCCACCAATCATACTTCACCATCTATACTAGCACAGCTAGCTCCTTCTACTATTCTAGCACAATCCTCTTTTGAGAATTGGCAGGTAAAAACCAGAAACACCGGCATATCAGTGGGAAGAAATGGTGGGAAGTAGGTGAGAGGAGGTAAATATATATCAGAAATTTGCTTGCAGTATAAGAAAATGTGAATTTCCAAAACAATCTTACCTCCTCTCACCCAAAGCTAGAATCTAACATGCAAAGGTGGAGGAGCTGGTGAAGGCTCATCAATATCCAACAAGCGGAAAATCCCTGATCCAAAGTGAAGAAGGCTGAGCTCAATGGAATAAGATATTAAGTGGGGTTAATAATGGACTTCTCCAACTGGATCAGAAAACCCTACCTGATTAGCTTCCTGAAGAAGAAAGCAGGTGTGATTGATCAACAGAGCACAGGAAGAGGTGAGCAGGAGCCAGTCGTCCAGGAAAAGGAGAGTCCGAAGACCAACCGAGTGAAAATGATGGGCAAAAGAGCACACCATTTGACAAAACACACAGAGGAAGATGCAACCCTTGTGGATGAACTGAAGAAAATGACGTGACATTGGAGCAGTTGGAATATGAAGATAGGCATCCATCACAATGATTTGGTCATCCAGAATACCGGGGAAATAGATGCCCAGAAGTGAGAGGTTGGACTCCATGTAGAAGTGATGTGGCTCCAGATAAGAATTAAATTGGGACAGGTATATGATGGGTCTCCAATCTCCCATCTTTCAAGGGACAAGAATTAAATGGGAGTACAACCCAGGTTGAGTGGGTACCACCTGTTCAACAGCCCTTTCGTGTTGTAGGTTTTGAATAGACTAGGCAAGGTAACTGGAAGAGGTACAATCCCAAGGAGGAGGGAAGGAGGTCTGTTATGTGGATGGGAGAGGGGGGTGAGCAGAATTGAAGGCAGTAGCTTTCAGACAGAACCCATGGAACTGTTGCGAAGTATAACCAAAATGACACATAAACTAAAACTAAACATACTTAGAGAAAGTACTCTTTACTAATGAACTAACAAAGCCGAGAAATTTACAGAGTCTATAAAGTACATAAAAATAACGAAGTTGCAAAACTATAAAATTTGACCTAAAACATAAAACAATAAGCAACACCTAAAGTACAAAACCACTAATGGAACTTAGAATATAAGATGCATAAATATCGAACTAATAAGCCACTCAAAGAACCAATAAGACAAAGGACTTGAAAGTAAGACCTACCCTGAAGAACAGGAGAATGAAGAGGCAGCCAGATAAAAATAACAAAACTTGACTCAAATTTCATCTCCAATTAGACGTGACTAGTAATAAAGAAAAATAAACTTACAATCTAACTAAACTAAACAGTGAAAGGAAGTATAAATAATGAACCAACACATCCACAAAATTGGCTGAAGCTACAATTACTCAAACAGTAACTATTGTGCAAAACCTGTACATATACCCAAAATTAATCCAAAACAAATTAATAATCAAACTCTAAATGCAAATTTAAACAAAACTAACTTGGATGGTAAAAGAATTATAAAAATCTAACTTACCAAATAGTGAGCAGAGAAGACATGAAAGACCTAAATTATCAAGTGAGGAAATTAGGGCAATCAACACATAAACTCACTAAACATGGGTATACCGTATACCTACTGGGAGTGAGTAATACACACTGAAAAACTTACTACAGATCTCTTGGAAAAACAACAACACCTAACCAAGGAAAGAAATGTGAAAGGAAGAAATCATCAGCTGAACATAAGACACGAACTTCCCATGAACTAAAGTCTGTACTTCCCCAGCAGACATCGTCAACCCTGAGACCAATGTTGAAGCTTGAAGTTGAAACTGAAATAAATTTGTAATCAAGCACAATCAAAATTCTGTAGTCATATGGAGAGTGATTTAAAACACACGTCTACACAATAGAATGCCAATCAAGAAAGTGAGGATTGTGCTTGAATAGTAGAGGGAGCTATCTGCAGTAGTATAGATGACACAGTATGATCAGTGGATGGTAGCCACATGATTAGCATGTGTTCTGAAATGGCACGAAACTAATGAGGTATAAAAGACTGGTGTGTTGTTATAGCAATGCTTAGAGGGCAGTCCATGATCAAGATAACTTTAGGTTAGTGGAGGTAAAACCATTTCAAAATGACACATGTTCTGTAAGAGATATGTAAAATTCAGTTGCGAAAAATCATTTAATTGTTTCATAATCTTTACTGTTGATGAACTTGAGTCAACAAAAAGGATTCATTTCTGTGGTTTTCTTACATACAGTGGCTAAGCCACCACCAAATCATTAAAATTCTATAAACCAGTTTGGTTTCTGATTCAGGTTCACTGACATACATCTGCTTCCTTTTGTTTATTACCACAGTGTTCAAGTAATAATGTTTAATTCAATTTCAAACTTTTCTAATGTCTACAAGCCTATAAGTTTATTTTATTTTGATAAAATATATAATACCTGTGCTGGTGATGACGTATGATCTAAAGTTTAGTAGTTTGTGTGATATGACATCACAATAAGACTAATAATAATTTTTAAGAAATGCTATTATATTCCTCTTAATAGGATACTGTATAGTAAGAAAGATTTGTTTAGAATTAACATAATTTTACTGTCATGTAAAATAAAAGACTTTAAAGCATGACAGCAAGATAGAAACTCATGTTATAAAGGAGAGGAAATATATATATATATTTGTTTTTAATTGAATGAAACCTCAAACTAGATGACTATGTAACTGATAAAAGGATGGGATAATCATACTTATTTTTCTAAGTTTAATTTTAAGTCATATGTTATACATTTTTTGTCTTACATTTTTGTATTTCATCTTCTTTTTCAGTGTTGGAGTTTTTTTGTAGACAAAATGGTGAACAAATAATAAATGTATAGATTGCAAGAGTTTTTAAACAAAATACTTTTCACTATTTCTTTGTATAATCTTGTGTCCCTTGTGGTTTGAAAATAAATGACTGGAAGGTACAAAAATTCTGTAGAAACATTAAAAAGCCAATTTCAAGTACATTTAAATCATTATTTTAAGTTACTTTTATTTAAAAAAAAAGACAATACCTTCAATAAGAATGTGGCTATCCCATGCACTCAATGTGTCCACCAGTACATTGACTCCAGGACTTTTCACAAGTGTTGAAGTGCCATTTGCTACCAGAGATTGTTTGTCTTCACTCAAATAAGAATACCCTTCTTTCAGTACATCAATATGATAAATATCCATGATAGTCGCACAAGGAAATGAGCCTACAACAATGCAGATACACCAAAATCTGCTATCATTAAAATACTTTAACAGTATTCCTTCTAACCATCATGTTCTTGTACAAGACACTTTTTAAAAACTGTATGGATTCAACAATACTCAGTTTTAAAAATTGAAAACTTAAATACTGAAGTTATAACACCAAGAAATTACTGTAAAGAAAAACTGAGTCAATTCCATGGTCAGTGATGGGTCCTATGAATTTATTTTTAATTTAATATGAATTTTTTACAATTAAAAAAGCATGAAAAACCAAGATTTTAATTACTTTTATGCAATTTCTTCATGGATAGCTTCTAAGAACAACAATTTATACAAGTTGATGCTTCTACTCTCTCCTTAGAATTAAATTACATTTAATACAGATAAGTTTTATGAATGAACTTTTATTATTACTATGTACAATTAAGATATTTATTACTTCAGTTTCTAAAACATAAGCATTATTGAAGCTTTATCAGATATTTTTTCACTATTCTCTTAACACTTCACTACTTACCCATCAGGCAGCATCCATTGTTAGGAACAACTTGACATGTCCACTTATGATGTACAGTTTCATGAAATTAACATTTTTAGATAAAATGTAAGCATTTCAAGAACTTATTGATGTTCCAATAGGATCAACAACAGTAATCATGTTGTCATTACAATGGTACAAGCAGCCATAAACTAAAATCAATCTTGTATAATGACCAGAAGCCAACTGACCATCACGGCTAACGAAGTACAGTGAATATATGGATGAGATACCTCCAAATTGCAATTATTTTTGTTTTAGTTTTTCTACATCTTTCCAAGTTTGACGAAGAACAGTTGACACTTATTGATAGTAACTATACTTAAAGCATGTATTACGTACATGTACACCTAGAAATAGAATACTTTTCCTGCATTATAGGTGCTGCTATGATTGACACCAGTTAGAATATCCAAGGTTCTTAAGACACTATATAACATGGTGAATGAGCCGAAGATGTATGTCTACTACCTTAGCATATTAGATGCATACATTTAACTCTTAAGCCATATCAACTAGAGCATCTAAGAGTTCAAGAATCTTGTGTGGATGCTGACTTCATATTCATGATCTTCTTCTATCTCTACAGTGTGTGCTCACAGCTTCTTCACAAAGTACATTCACTTCTCAGCAGCACCAATGATAGGGCCAGGATCCCCATGGGATTAGCAGGAACAAACAAACAGGTATCTCTGCTGATGCACCTGGAATAACTGATCTTGACTTTGTTATTGCTGAGAGACTCAAACTAATGCCACATGTCTATGTTGATGTCTATTACCTGCCAATAAATTGGATTCAACTTTAGTAACCTACAAAGCTCTACCATACTTTGCCATTTGAAATTGAAAGCATGACAGTAAGATGGAGTCTCATATTATAAAGGAGAGGAAATATATATATATATGTGTGTGTGTGTGTGTGTGTGTTTTTAATTGAATGAATCAACACTAAATGTCCCTGTAACTCTTAAAAGGATGGGATAATCATACCTGGTTAACAAGCATAACTTAGGCATGGAACAAGCAGTAACTAAACAGGTAACAGAAAAGAACTGCTATACATTCCATTCCACTTGAAGAATCTCAACCAGAGACAAAAGGAATCTCAAAGCTAGAGAGGCAGCTATGTGATGCAAAATTTTAAGAAATTATTGGGATTGGTCTACAAGCTGCTCTGCAGAATATCCTCTAAATAGTACTAAATCTGAGATACCAAAGACATAATCAAATGACAAATATGATAAGCCACAATCTGGAAATACTACATAAGGAAAGAAGCATTTGTTGAGGAGTTGGAAAAAACAAACAATATACAATATTTCTAATGCACGAACTATAGAAGATAGCCTAAGGAGAACGACTGTCAGACAGGGAAAAGCATCAGCAAGAATAAGCGAGCATTCAAGCCACCTGGAAAGAAAATTCAGCTTACCAGGCAAGGGCCATCTAACAACCAATTGTGATGTCAATGTGAAAAATGAGCATTTGAGAATTTTGTGAAGTTGTTCCAAAGATATTAATGGGATTGTTTCCTTGGGAGAAAGTCAACATAAAAGGATAACTATGGTTGATGTTGAGCTGGCCAAAGTCACATGATTGTTGACAGACAGGGTGGGAATTTCATAGTACACTAGCAGACTAAACAAAACTGCAGGTGTACCAAAACAGTAAACCTCAATAATTCTTGGTACTAAAGAAAATCCTCAGGTAGCATACCATTTTAAATAACTGGGAGTTGACATACATAGTCCTTCACAGTGGCATAACATTTTGACACAAATGAGGATCCACTGAACTGACCCTCCAGATATCACAAAATGTCCTAAAGTTGCACTGGAAGGCAGAAAAGATGCCTTGTACCTGCAGTTTTATAAATCACCTTTCTGCCCTTGCAAACACACAAACCTGTCTTATCAGTGTATCTTAACACCATGCATGCACCAAGCAGTACAGTTCACATTATTTGTATGCTGTAAAATATATGAAGAAAATAAATACCCTGAAAACAAAAATGGTATATTTCTAACACAGTAGAGAAAATGTGGTAAAAGTAATAGTTCACTTGCTGAAAAAAGGAGATAATCTCACAAAAACCAAAATGAAATGCCAAGTTGCAATTGGCTAAAATGGCCATTCCTTATGCTACACTTTCACAAGTTTCATCAGGAATATTTTAACATTGCACTGCCTCGAGTGTCAATACACATGGCCTGCTTTTATAGTTTTGGCTTAATGATAATTCAGTAACCTAGCCTGCTTGTGAGAAAATGAAACAAACAATGGAGCATTTCAGTTTAAGAAACTGTTGGTGAAAACCTCAAAATGTGAATGAACTTTCTGATCATGAGACTGAACCCAAAGAAAAAAGATCACAACTTTCTTCAGTCCGGACTTGTCCTAGGCCTATATCTAACATCACTGAAAGTGCTAACTAAACTAACACGGACAGGTCTGAGATTAATAGTCATGCAGATTTATTTTCACCTGCACCTTCAATACCACAAATAAGCAAGAGTTCACATATGCACTTCTCAAAAAGGAGAAAAGTTAACCATTCATGGAAGAATAAGTGGCCTTGGTTGGAGTTCAATGCAGATGAGGGAGTTATGTTCTGTGCCCACAGTAGAAATTGGCCAATTTTCTCTGATAGCCATTCCCAATTGTTTGTGGGGTCTTGAGACTTCACATGCCCTCAAAGAGCTCTTCAAAACATGCAGAAAGTGTTGGGCACCTCAAACATGAACAAATGCAGAAGGCAAAGAACCAACACCCACTATATGACAAGTTTACTGTAATCCCTAAACATATGTTTGTACTGACAATAAAAAACACAACGTATGTACATTACACCAAGAAGTTGTTTCTAGCAACTCCCTGATTACACACACACAGCACTGCTTTGCAATGCACAGTGCATAGTAAAAGTTATTATCATACTCTGGAAATCCCAAAGTACCTTACCCCCAATTGAAGCAGAGTGAAACCCTAATACAATATTTTGAATGATAAAGCAGGTGGAAATATTGGTACATTCACTTCAAAGGGGATGCAAATAAAACCAAATAAACTCCAACTTTCCAATTGGCTTACACTATCATTCATTTCACCAAACTTATACAAGTGTCTTTGGGAATATGAATTGGCACAGCTGTAATTCTGTAAAACATACAAAAATCAGCTTTAGGATTAGCATTGCCTAATTAAGAAATAGCTTAATTTAATTTAGTTCCAAAGCAATTTTTAATTTTGCCTTAGTAAGTAATATTCATTTACTTTCTCTTAACAGGGCATTAAAGTACTTATCCAGTGAGTAAAATGACAAGATAAAGAAGCTTTTTACAACAGCATACTGCATTGCAAAACATGACATGTCTATTTGCTCTTTTGAACACTTGTGTGAACTACAAGCCATCAGTGGAGTTGAAATTGGTCATATGTACATGAACAATAAAGGAACAACTGACTTTATTTCATGCATTTATAAGGTGGCAGTAAAAGAATTAATACACCATGTAAACAGTTCTGAATTCTTTTTCATATTATTTGATGGTTCTACAGACAGAGTAAGAAACAGTAGATATTTGTCTTTTGACTGATAATGAACCTCAAAATTTCTTCCTTAGGATGGTAAATGTTAGCAATGCATGTGCTGAAGCAATAAGCAAAGAGCCAATAGAAATTATTGAGAATATTGGGATCCAGACATGGCAGAAAAAGCTTGTTGGATTTGGGTCAGATGGTCAACCTTGGTTCGAAGGGTGGCATAGTAAACTTCCTACAAAAACATGCGACACATCTTGTAGATGAGCTTAAGAATCTGATTACTCATTACTCTGAATGTTTATTCTCTTGTGAGTCTGATGGTCATGATTCAGAGGAAGGAAGCCAACAGTCAAGTAAGCCACCCAGCAGGCTGTGATGCATGTGTGGGAACAGTTCAAACAGTTTGTATCAAAACATGTCCCTGCAAATGAAAGGTTATTTTTCTCATATGGAAGAAATTTCTTGATGAACATTTTCATCTTACTCCCCACTTAGGCAAATTAGCTCAAATAGCTCTTCTTTTGCCTATGAATACAGGGGAATGTGAAAGGGGATTTTCAGCTATGAAAAGAATCAAAAGTGATAATTGGTCAAGGTTGATGGGAGATACCTTGTTAGCCCTGATGACCATCTCAGGCCTCAGGTAAAGCATTTTGATCCTCAGTCTGCAACAGACTGGGTTGGCAGGAAAAACCAGCAAGAGACCAGAATAAAGTCTTCACTCTCACCATAAGCCAGACCCTAGGTTTAAAAATAAATATCAGAAGTCACACAAAATGATTAAACTTCAAAAAAAAAGTTGCTTATTTTATGTTATTTCCATTGTCAAAGACAAATCTTGTTATGATTCTTTAAAAATGCACAATACTGTATGTTTATAAAAGAGCACTTACAGTGATGTCAACTTAGATGCACCAGGGGTAAAATTCTGAGTAACATAAATTATTTTTTTAGGCAGTACTAGTACCGGGACTTATTTCAGCTGCTCTGTTGTTTTTTTTATGCTTACACTTAGATTTTTTTCTCTTTTTCAAAACAGGTCCACTTCACCCAGCTGAGTACCTCAACTTTATTTTTGAGAATTTCACCCTTGGTATGCACAATATTGTTTAGGAAAGCATAGTTCTGAATCATAACTGCAAATTCATAAAAATATTGTGCATAAGTTGAAATGTGAAAGAAAATTTTTTGTCGATACAGAAAAATCTCTCAAACCAATGACTGTTTTAATGATCTACCAATTATTATACATAAGTTTGCAAATAATAAATGAGATGTTGACATCCATAATCCTTTGGCTTTCTCAGTTTTTATTGCACTGGAATTGTTTAACTGTTGCATAACTGCCACATATTTCTTGATATGGATCAAAAACTTCATTAATATACATCTTCTGAAGTTTAGAGGCAGCAATGGGTAGGTTAAAATTAAAATCTCAAATTGTAGTTTTTCAAGGTGAAACTACATTAAACGTGACAGGAAGTAGACTTAAATAATGTTGTGTTTTGTAAAGAAACAGATTAACATACAATATGATAATCATATCAGTAAATAAAAATAATAATTTATTTGCCTCCAAGTGTATAGTGTGTTTGTGTACCCAAACACAGGTGCTTATCAAACTACATCTTGTGCTCACTAAAGTTTGAAAACCTTTATGGACTGATAAGCACCTTTAATTTCAGAAGATGAGCTTACCAGCTCCTCACTACGAAATTCCCACTCTGTTGACAGAATGAGAGAAAATAATGTTTCAAACTTAAAATGAAAAGTCCATAAAAATGGGTGAAATATAAACTGAAAACCTATGATTAGGTATTTCCTTTGAATTTTCTCAGTAATATACAGAGATTCATTAGAACTGAAATGTAATCTTTTCATTTTGTTTTCCATATCTCCAAGATCTGGTTGAATCCACTTATTTGGAATGTGGAAAATATACTGGTAACTAACTCAGACTGTTAATATTATGGTTTTAAATGCCAATAATTGACAAACTAATGAAACCAATAAGCCTAATATTATACTACAGTACAGGTACACATAACATTTTGAATAAACTTTTGTCTGCCCCCATGTTTGCTCCAACTGAATAGTTCTGGTATTAAACAGAAAGCAGACAAAAATTAAAAAATAATTTTAAATCATTGAAAAAAATATTGGTCTATTGTCTAAACTTTTGATTTTTTATCATACATATTGTGGTCAAAAGATGTTCAGTTTGCTTATTAAATTTCTATGTTTCTATTAGTACTAATAATACTAGCCTAATACTCAGATACTGAAATTTTACTATTTTAAGTTTAATTCTTCGGATTTTTCTAACAGGATGATTGCCTTCGGATGTTGTGAAGGTAGTAAATTTAAGTGAGTTTAAGAGAAAGCTTGATAAGTATATTTAACATTTAAGATTTTTTAAAAATGTATTCATTAATAGTTGTAATTTAGTTTCAGCATGGGACATGTTGTCCCAAAACATTATGTTCTATTCACTAACCTATTCATATGACAAAAGTAAATCGTCAATGACTTCAGAATATAATGTTAGTTCAATGATACCATATACAATGATACATACGTATAATTATACCACTACCAGGCCTAATATGGTCACAAAAACTTTTCACTGAAAATGAAATTTATTTTCCTTAAAATTAGATACTTAATACTTTAAGTTTAACCTGAAATCTTAATTTTTCAATGGAGCATAAGTTATTAATGTTACACAACAAAATGAATTAAAAATTTTAATTTGATATATGATTAAATTTAAAGATTCAAGGTACTTGTGAAGTTGTGTAAAAACTAATTTATAATACTCAATCTTTCAACGTTTTCAAGTACACAATCAAAAATTAAAAACTGTATTCCGAGACCGTAAACTATTGTTTATTAGCGCGTTCCCCAACAATCATTTCAAAGAGAAAAAAATTACTTAATAAGTGAAATTTGTGTTACCTAGTGATTCTGAGTCAATCAATATCAGCAAATCACACAAATTTTACAGTTAAAACCACGTGTATGGCAAGAGTAAACAACTTGGTTTCCGTTCGAACTTACCAAACACGTCAGTCGTTCTTTTTCTACTCTCGTATTTTCTGCCTTTTTAATTAACTTTTTTGTTTTTTCTGAATATCTCTGTTTGCTTGCTGTTGTACTTATCTTCACATTGAACCTGTTTCGATTTACCTTCTCTGCTCTTTCTTTTGCTTATGATCACACTACACCAATTCAGGAACATTTTCTGTATTATTTTTTGTCCACTATATCACATCCTGCCTACAATAACTCAAGTCCACGAACTTTCGGTGAGTAAATATTTTTCACTTCTTTATTTTTTCCACTTTAAAATATTTTAATTGTTTTTAAAATGTTCCATAATTTTTATTAACGCAATGCACCTTCAGTGTATATTCCAGAAATAATTAAAATACTGGAGAATGTGTTTTAAGTAACACTTCATTAAAACTAAAATATTTGAATATCAGCCCCCCCCCCTTTTTTTTTTCATTTCAAGCACTGGAAGTTCTCAACTTCACTTTGCAAGCTCAGCCTCGCATTTCTCTTCAACTGTACAGCACCCATTGTCTTCCATTTGCTTTTTCTATTGAAAACCTTACGTTCACATACAATTCCACCTGCTGGCTCTAAAGGTCTTCTTGCATAATATTGACACCAATCTTCCTTCTGACGATATTCTATCAGACGCGGATGGGAAATTTATTTATGCTCGTGGGCCAGTTTCTTACCTGCACTGTAGTCTGGCGCTGAAACTATATGATGAGGGAAAGCAGGGGTGAAAAGTTGCCGGTACTGAATACCAGAACTTATTTTTTATGGCGGTACTAGTACCGAGACTTACTTGAGCTGCGTTTCGTTTTTTATGTTTACACGTAGATTTTTTTTTCTTTTTTAAAAACAGGTCCACTTCACCCAACTGAGTACCTCTACTTTTATTTTGAGAATTTCACCCCTGGGGTAAAGTATGTTCAAAATATTTGCTTAATGTGAATTTTAATACCTACTGTTCGTTATAGACTTTCAGTTATGAATAAATAGCTAAATTAACATTTGAAGAAAGTTGCAATTATACTTGATCACAAGACATTTGTATTAGACCTAACACTAACGTCTTTATGACAAGTATAATTGTAAATTACCTTCCCCGGTTTGTAAAAGGTTTACACAGCATAACAAATTTAACAATTTGAAGAAGAAGAAAAAAGCATTCTCAGAACCGTCACGGGACTGGTTTGCGTGATCACAGTTTCGTTTTACTAGTTTGGCGAAAATAAAATATGATAAAAAATGACGTATAAAATATCTTCTTGGGTCGGACTCGGTCCGTGGGCCGTCGGTTTTCTTTCTATGTTCTATCTTCTTTCCACGATGCTGGATTTCAGCCTCATTGTATTTTCGGAATCACATCTCAGACTACTGGTAAAAATATTGGCTTTGTTAAGGTCGCCTGTAAAAGAAAAAACAACAACAACCTGAGCATCTCTATCTCTTTTTTTATGGTCTCCGTGTTTGTTGTTGTTGTTGTTTTCTCATTACGAGAATAAGAAGCCATGTATTAAATATTTCATTTCTTCAGGTAGTTTTCTAACGAACTTCATTCCCAAGTCAATTCCGTCTGTATTTATTTGTTTTTAATCAATGGACTTTCTTCTCCTCTTATTGTGTCTTAAGTTCCAAATTGGTCCAATTGACTGTAATTACGTCTCTGACCCATCAAATAATGATGATGATGAGTTTATTACAGACTCATCTATATCCATTACTTGGTTTTAGACTCATCCTGTTGAACTACATCCGTCCCTCAACATTATTTTGTCGTCAAATACCACTGCTTTATCACTCTTTAATCAACTCATTTGGCCGATTTCTTCCTATTTTTAAAAAGTCACTTCCCTTCTTTGGAAATTATATCGAATACCACTTCATGGGTAGTGTTCATTTTGATGTTTAAGCTGTTTCTTTCTTCTTTGTGCTTTACTTATCAGTTCCTTTCCCATCTACACTTTTTTTTTAATAGTGGCCCATTTTAACGATTGTTAGTCTGCTCTCCTTCTAGTTTCTCAACTTAGTTTTTCCATACTTATTTTATATATTCTTGTGAGGAATAATATTTTAGTTGAAAGTTTATGTCAGCTGCAATTAACATTTTATCACAAGATAAGATAGAAAATAAAATTAATCCTAATCATCAATCACGTTCGTTTTGGTGAGTTTGTATGTGGTAACATTCTAAAGACTCATCCCAACATATTGTTACGTCTCCGTTTGTTAATTAAAAGATGAAACTTTAGCGACACAAGTCCTTACTTAATAAAACTGGTTTATTCTTTCCTAATATAACTTTACGATACATTTAATTTCAATATTCGCGCTAAAACAAACACTATAACGAACGAACGTTAACTTCAACAATACGTCTCTCTCTGACTGCAGTTCAATTACTCATTACCTACACACACATTCTTCCCCGTCACGTTGTCACCCTCTTTTATATACCAGACTACCCTATATCTAGTAAATACTAGAGCATTCGCCAAGGTACAGGATAGTTCTAGAAAATAGGTGGCGCCACACCAGTCACGTGACCTCGATGACGCAACACTTACTTTCACGAATAACAACAGTTTCTGAAAGTCATTGGTTGTATTTCAAACCCCTTCGGATCTTGATGGATTTTAAAATCAAAATACTTACCAAGCTAGGAGCAGAATCTCTAATAGCGAGGCGAAATGAGACACAGATCTCTGACCACCTCAGGATAGGAAAATATAATTATTTTTCTTAACATCCTAAACTTCTACCAAGAAGGTAGGAAGGAAGGAGTTCAGTCTGTACCTGATGATGTCTTTACTGGCGAAACCATGGTCGTTAATAAATGAAGTACTTGTGAAACTTATAGTTGTCTGTTTTTTTCCTCAATTATGTAATTATTGAGTTTCACCAAGTACCGACGGTTTCAATTATCAGTTATAAAAAGATGTAACCATTTTAACATCAATTTCAGTTCAATGCAGTCGACAAAAATCTATATTTTTGTG